GAGGAGGAGGAGGAAGAATTCTTTAGCAATTTCTTGGACGAGAAGTGAAGTGTCTTCAAAGAAAACCAAGGGAGTCAAGAGGCCTTTTGGAAAAGCCCCTTTGGGACAACCATGACCTGGATGCCCGAGAACCTCCGTCAACGTGGAGACGCGACAGCTGTTCTCCACCTGCAAGCCAGCATTTATCCCGGGTTCCTTTCCAACGTACCTAGCGCCCCCCTTCGGGTGAAGTGTTGGTTGAGGTTCCGGGCTCCCGCCGAGGGCACCGCCAAGAGCTCCTGGAATTCTTCTGAGCAGGGGGGCTTTGCCAGACCTGGAAGGGAACCATGGGTGAGATGGGAGGGAGCTCTTCAACCTCCATTGCAGGCAGTTCTCGACGTACGACTTGTTTCATTTAGTGGCCGTTCAAAGTAACAACGCCACTGAAAAAAAGCGACTTATGCCCATTATTTCGCACTTACGACCGTGGCGTTGTCCCCACCGTCATGTAATTTTACATTTGGATGCTTGGCAATGGACTCACATTTACGACGGTCACTGTGTCCCTGGGTCATGGGATCTCCTTTTGTGAACAAAATCTATGGGGGACGCCACATTCACTTAAGAATGGCAGCGATTCACTTAACAACAGTGGCAAGGAAGGTCGTAAAAAGGAGCAAAGCTCCCTTAACAGCTGTTCTGACCCAAACCTTGTTCCAAGGAAACAAACACGAAACGGAGGTAGCAGCAAAACCTTTTAATGATTCTTTACAAATTCCGTTCCTTCCGGGTTCAAAGGCTGTTCCAAACTCATTGTCTCTGATAAGAACGAGCCTTGCCAAGGTGGTGCAAGGCTGCCAAGAACACTAGATAAGGTTGCCAAGAAATATATCACTCTCCAAACACCAACCAAGATATTCCGAACGTCCACAAGGCTTGAGTGCAAAACCTTCTTTGCTTCCTGCAAAGAACTCCGGTTTCTCAGCTGGCTTTTATCCCTTAAGGGAGGGGCCATTACCTTGCAGCCTTACTCCCGAGTCGCCCGTGCTGCTGCAGCTGATCTTTCCTTTGAGCAGCCCTGCGCGCATGCCCACCGGGCACCGGCTCCTCGGGGGACTCTTCCTCACTGCTGCCAGCCTCCACAATCTCCGAAGGCAGCACTCCACTCCCTGATGGTCCTGGCCCCATCCCTGCATCACACGCAGGCCCCTCACCTGAGTCCTCGCTCTCCAAGACCTCAGCCATCTACACCAGTTGCCAGCAAACCACAACAACAACTATCTTGCTGAGCAATGGAGATTTTGGGCTCAATGGTGGTCGTAAATCGAGAACTACCTCTTTGGGAAAGATGCAGGCTGAAAGAAACACAGGCCGCTTCAGAAAACAGAGGAGAAGTTACCCAGTTTGTCTTTGGTTTCCTGCACGATCGCATCCACTCCTCTCACAACCAGGTTTGTCAACGTCGTTTGGACTTTCCTTTTGGGAACGGCAGCTGCAGCCCTGAAGGGAGAGAACACAAGGACACAACTCAAGGTCTGGAAATCAAAGCCAGCCTAAATCTTCCCTGTTGAAAACATTGCGATCAATTCTGATTTTATGGAGGGAAAAGTTCTAGGCTGGTTCTCTCCTTGATTAGTTTCCATCCAGCTGATCTAATTTTTTTTTATTTATGGCAACCTCTTAGATCAGGGATGGCGAACCTTTTCGTAGTGTGCCGGCACTCACAATGCAATGCGCCCCCTCCTGCGCATGCGTGCACGAGACCTGCGCCCCGTCCCCTTACCTGCACTGCACATACGCACGCCTCCCAGCTGATTTTTGGCCCATTTGAGGCCGTTTTTGCCCTCCCGGAGGCTTGAAGGAAGTCTCTGCAACCTCAGGAGGCCGAAAAACGGGCCTTCCGGAAATACCGGAAGTGCCGTAACGGGCCTGCTTTTCGGCCTCCCGAGGCCTCCCTCAGGCCTCTGGGAGGCCGAAAACGGCTTCCCCGGGCTCCTGAGGCCCCCCGGAGGCCGAAAAATGGGCCTTCTGGAAATACCGGAAGTGCTGTAATGGGCCCATTTTTCAGCCTCCGGAGGCTTCCCTCGAGCCCCAGGAGGGCAAAAATGGCCTCAAACAGGCCGAAAACCAACTGGGAGGCACGCACATGTGCAGTGCAGGTAAGTTTAGCTGGGGTTCATGTGCCCACACAAATGGCTCTGCGCGCCACCCGTGGCACGCATGCCATTGGTTCGCCATCACGGCCTTTGATGTTGGAATCCTGCTCTCATGCCACCCCTTCTCCTTCTCCTTTTCATGTCTAGTGTGATGAAAAGAAGGACCAGGGGTGACATGATGGCAGGGCTGCAATATCTGAGGGGCTGCCCCAAAGAAGAAAGAGTCCACTTATTTTCCAAAGCACCAAAAGGCAGGACGAGAAGCAACGGATGGAAAGTCATCCAAGGAAAGAAACAACCTCGAATGAAGGAGAAATTTCCTGATTAATGACAATGTTAATTGACTGAATGACTTCCCTCCAACATTAGGACTTTAAGAAGAGACCGCACAAACCTGAAATGGTATATAGTCTCCTACCTGAAGACCTCCAAGGTCCCTTCCAACTTGGTTAATCTAATTCAGAGGTCTCCAAACTTGGCAACTTTAAGACTTGTGGACTTCAACTCCCAGAATTCCTCAGCCAGCCATGCCCGCTTTCTCTCTCTCTTAATCTCCTAAAGTGGAGACAGATGGCAGAGGAAGGGATTACAAGAGAGTAGGCTAGGCTGGCTGAGGGCTTCTGGGAGCTGAAGCCCACAAGTCTTAAAGTTGCCAAGTTTGGGGACCTCTGATCTAATTGAATCTAATTAAACCAAGACCTGGATAAGCAAATTCCAGGCCCCACAAAGCACAGAGAAGCATTTCCTTACACAGAGGCAGCGTAAGCCGCCGAGGAAACCCCCCCGTAGTAAAAACCGCCTTGACAGAGCTTCTCTTTCAAGCCAAGGTTCCGCTTTGCTGTCCGTTTCGGTGCTCGGGTGGTGGAGAACGTGGACTGCAGATCTGCTCGCTTCGAGCTCCGTTTTCGGTACTCGGACTGTATGTGATAGTGACAATATTCACACTCGCTCTGCAAAGGGAGACACAATCGAGTCCGGGAAACTGAAGATGCTGATCAAAGAACATTTTTTTTTTAAAAAAAAGTAATATAATATAAATTAATGATATATAAATCTATAAAAAAGGATGTGTGTGTGTGTGTGTGTGTTCCAGCACAACTCTGGAACGCCTCGAGCAATTTCAACCAAACTTGGTATACAAATTACTTACTCTCTGGAAACAAATTCTGTGGCGGGTAGGACACCCCTAACACCCCTCAGGGTGTGTGTTCTGTTAAGATACGGCCTGTTGTGCCTTTAAATGGCTTCTACTGTACAGCGCTGCGGTAAGGTCGTATTTTCAGGGAAACAGAGGAATATCTACCTGTACGAAAACCTGGAGCCCAAACACCCTTTTTACCTGATTAACCATCTGAGTACAAGGCTCCCCATTTTTCTTCCTGGCTTTACAAGTCCCCAAGTCCATGGATTCCCCCAAAATCAGGATCTTTTGAGGATGATCGACGGATAGACACACCTGAGAAGAAAGAAGGAGGCAGCTTTCGGCTTTCAGGAAGCTGAACCAATTTATATCCAACATTATTACAGGTTTTATCAAGCCAATATTTTCTCAGCTGTTTTCATTGCATTTTCGTGGTGGGAGGAACACAAATATTGTGGCTTAGTTTCTTGGGAAAAAAGGAGCTTTGGTTTTCCTACACCAAAGGCCTCGTGGCTGCCCAACGAGGAAGATTATATTCCACTAAAATGATTCTGGATCAATTTTCAGCAGTACTTAAACTGCTGCTGTTTAAAGAGATGTTTCTCCTACTCTTCACTTCTTCCACAATCTCGGGTGCAAGAACAACCACGTTTCGATCTTCTGAACTTTTGGATTCATGCTGGAGCCCATCTTCAGGGAACTTCTCTCTAGCACAGCGCAATGAACAAGGACATACATTCAATTTTGCAGCTAACTAAGATTGTTGGATGGGCAGAGACAAAAACAGCCAGGAAAATGATTGAAGCCTGGGAAATAAGCCCCTCATCAGTCAAGAGGAATTTACTACTGATTTACTACCAGGTTATCAATTACTTAGAAAGTGAGACCTTGGCAACACAAAGAAACAACAACCAACAACTTAATAGTCAGCCATCAACACCTCAATCGACAACTAAAAAGCATCATATAAATACTACACACAGAACGGCACAGACTCCGCTAGGGAGATGTTCCTTGAAGATGGGCTCCAGAAGTCCAAAAGCTCGGAAGACAGAACTTCTGTTCCCAGTGACCGACTCAGATTGGATCTTGCAACATTATCCTGGGATAAGTAGATTTCCCTTCATTCAACTTTTTGTTCTGCAGACAACTCAAACCATTCAAATTGTGTTTGGATCACCCAAACTTATCTGTTCTGGAAGAATTTGTGAGTGGAGGTCCTCTCCTAGGAGACACCCCAACTGCTCCTCAAGACAGTTCAGAGAACGTTCTTCTGGCCTTCAGCCCAGGGACCTTCAAGGATGAAGCCAACAAGAGAGAAGAGTTCTCCTACTTCACTTCAGGACTGGTTCCCGAGTCAAGAAGCACTCAGAAACCCAGAAGCTCAGATCTCTCCTTTTCTTCTCCCACCAAGGACACCCACTCAAACCTTACATTACACAAAATGGTTCTGAGGTACACTGCTCAAAAAAATAAAGGGAACACTTAAACAACACAATGTAACCAAGTCAATCACACTTCTGTGAAATCAAACTGTCCACTTAGGTAGCAACACTGATTGACAATCAATTTCACATGCTGTTGTGTAAATGGAATTAGACAACATAGGCAGTTAGCAAGACATCCCCAATAAAGGAGTGGTTCTGCAGGTGGTGACCACAGACCACTTCTCAGTTCCTATGCTTTCTGGCTGATGGTTTGGTCACTTTTGAATGCTGGCGGTGCTTTCACTCTAGTGGTAGCATGAGACGGAGTCTACAACCCACACAAGTGGCTCAGGTAGTGCAGCTCATCCAGGATGGCACATCAATGCGAGCTGTGGCAAGAAGGTTTGCTGTGTCTGTCAGCGTAGTGTCCAGAGCATGGAGGCGCTACCAGGAGACAGGCCAATACATCAGGAGACATGGAGGAGGCCGTAGGAGGGCAACAACCCAGCATCAGGACCGCTACCTCCGCCTTTGTGCAAGGAGGGACAGGAGGAACACTGCCAGAGACCTGCAAAATGACCTCCAGCGGGCCACAAATGTGCATGTGGCTGCTCAAACGGTCAGAAACAGACTCCATGAGGGTGGTATGAGGGCCCAACGTCCACAGGTGGGGGTTGTGCTTACAGCCCAACACCGTGCAGGACGTTTGGCATTTGCCAGAGAACACCAAGATTGGCAAATTCGCCACTGGCGCCCTGTGCTCTTCACAGATGAAAGCAGGTTCACACTGAGCACATGTGACAGACGTGACAGGGTCTGGAGACGCCGTGGAGAATGTTCTGCTGCCTGCAACATCCTCCAGCATGACTGGTTTGGCAGTGGGTCAGTAATGGTGTGGGGTGGCATTTCTTTAGGGGACGCACAGCCCTCCATGTGCTCACCAGAGGTAGCCTGACTGCCATTAGGTACCGAGATGAGATCTTCAGACCCCTTGTGAGACCATATGCTGGTTCCTCCTAATGCATGACAATGCTAGACCTCATGTGGCTGGAGTGTGTCAGCAGTTCCTGCAAGATGAAGGCATTGATGCTATGGACTGGCCCGCCCGTTCCCCAGACCTGAATCCAATTGAGCACATCTGGGACATCATGTCTCGCTCATTTCACCAACGCCACGTTGCACCACAGACTGTCCAGGAGTTGGGGGATGCTTTAGTCCAGGTATGGAAGATCCCTCAGACCATCCACCATCTCATCAGGAGCATGCCCAGGCATTGTAGGGCGGTCATACAGGCACGTGGAGGCCACCCACACTACTGAGCCTCATTCTGACTTGTTGTAAGTACATTACATCAAAGTTGGATCAGCCTGTAGCGTTTTTTTCCACTTTAATTTTGAGTGTAACTCCAAATCCAGATCTCCATGGGTGGCTAAATTTGATTTCCATTGATAATTTTTGTGTGATTTTGTTGTCAGCACATTGAACTATGTAATGAACAAAGTATTTCATAAGAATATTTCATTCATTCAGATCTAGGATGTCTTATTTTTGTGTTCCCTTTATTTTTTTGAGCAGTGTATTTGCAGGTGTGGGATCCTGCCGGTATAAGGTTCAGTGATCGCATGCTTTGCAGGCATACGCACGCTTCGCGAACAGCAATGCAAAAATCCTTACCTGTGTTACTTCAGGGAAGTAACACAGGTGAGGAGCAGCAATCCACTCTTCTGCATTGATCAGCTGAGACGATAAAGGTCAGTACAGTACAGGGGTGCGGGAATGGTGGGCCTGTTGTGGTTCGCCGGCAGCCTGTGCAGACGGCAGCAGAATCCGACAGTGGAGATGAATGGGGACCAGTCCTGGAGTATGGGGAGGACTCAAACAAGGGTCCTCCATCCAATGCAGGGCTGGGGCCAGGACCCTCTGAGAGTGGGGTGCTGACTCTGGAGGCTCCGGAGTCTGGCAGCAGTGAGGCAGAAGAACCAGGGGACCCTGTTCCCAGTGTGCATGTGCACAGAGCTGCCCAAAGGCAAGAGCAGCTGAAACAAAATGGGTGACTCGGGAGTAAGGCTTGGAGGTGATTGCCCCTCCCATAAGGTATAAAGGACAGGCAAAGGTAGAGAAACCTTTGCAGGAAGCAAAGTCGTTCGCTCTGTTCGGATTAAACCTAGGAACTCTGTGTGGACTTTGTACTTTGGTTGGTTTTTTATAGTTATTTTGGCACTTTAGTTGTTGGCAGCAATTCAAAGGAGAGAAAGGTGGGTGTTTATCTCAAGGGACTGTTTGGGACTCATTACCGGCTGGGAATGAAAATAATTCCCAGCACTGAAATAAAACAAGAGTTGTTTGGACTAAGCGTGTGCTTAATTATGGTCTCAGGAAGCCTTGGTCAGAACAGGGCCCACATCATTGTTGGAGCTAGAAGTTCAGCTGAGCCAGCAGAATCCCACCCCTGGGTGTTTGTTGAGAGAAAGATCTAGAGGCCTTCTGCCCCAACCTTCATCCATACCTCCTCTGATCCTTCCTTGGGCTTCATCTGGTTAGCGTTGAGGAGGCCTACGACCATGCCTTGGTCGGTCTTCCAGTGCTCTTTGTGAACGTCCCCAAACAGGAAGAGGGAGACGGACCTGTTGAAGTCACGTAGGTCATTCAGGTGCCAGATGCTGAAGGTTTTACCCTGGGAGAGATGCGGAGAACAAGCGCCTTCCTATGTTACTTTGCAATGATTGGTTGGGACAAGCATTAAACACTCCCCCAAAAAACCATTACGTGCTTCAGGCAGTGTGGGGCGCATCGCTTGCCCACACGCTCTTCGTCTGCGAAAGCAGCAACACAGTGGCCAGGCTTGCCGGAGTGGACGAGGGCAGGATTTTCTGCTGGACGGCTACCGGTATCTGGAGTGACCGTTACAGGTAGGCAAGGGTGCACGAGTTGCATCGCTCACACTTTTGGGCCGCGGAAGAAGCGGCCCATGGCCAGGCAAGGCATGTGGGACGAGTGGGTTGCTCCTCACAGCTCAGAGGGAGGGAAAAGAGGGAAAGGGAAAGGATGGAAGACAAGGGGAGAGAGAGAGAGGAAGGGAAGGAAGGAAGGAATAGCACTTATATCCTGCTTCATGGTGCTTTACAGCCCTCTCTAAGCGGTTTACAGAGTCAACCTCTTGCTCCAGACAATCTGGGTCCTCATTTTACCTACCTCAGAGGGACGGAAGCCTGAGTCAACCTTGAGATGGTCAGGATCGAGCTGCTGGTAGTGGGCAGAGTTTAGCCTCAATACCGCATTCTCACCACTATGTCATCACAGCTCAGAGGAAAGGGGAAAAGGAAAAGGAAGGAAGACCAGGGGAGAGAGGGAGGAAGGAAGGAGGAAGGCTGAGTCAACCTTGAGCCGGTCAGGATCGAACTTCCTGGCTGTGGGCAGAGTTAGCCTGCAATCCTTCATTCTAACCACTGCGCCACCAATTCAATTTTTTTTACTACCGCTGGGACTCAATGGGAGACAGAGAATAGATGGGGGTGAGGCCAGTCAGAGGCGGGATTGGCCAGTTCTCCAAATTACTCAACATTTCCTCTGCCCAAATATCTTTTCAAAGAACGCTCCTGTGTACAACGCCTTTTACAACACCCCCGTTACACTCCTACTGTCTTTCTCATCACCCACCCCAAAAAGAAGGCCCAGCACAGTTTTGTGCCCATGCGTTAAAATTAAGCCCTGTCCCCCAAATTTGGCCCTAATTAAGCACATATGTGGCCGTTCCCCGCCATTTTCTCACATCGCTTGCAGTGTGGAGAACATGAGGTGAGAAGGCGAGAGGGGGCGGAAAGAGTGGGGCGGGGAACTTGCCCCACCGGGCTGCTTCTTTCGCGGGCGAAAGGAGCAACTCACTCATCCCATGCACCTTGCCTGGCCACGGGCCGCTTCTTTCACAGCTCAGTAGTGTGAGCGACGCAACTCGCACACCCTTGCCTACCTATAACGGTCACTCCAGATACCGGTAGCCGTCCAGCAGAAAATCCTGCCGTTGTCCACTCCGGCAAGCCTGGCCACTGGGCCGCTTCTTTGGGGGATGAAGAGCGTGTGGGCAAGCGATGTGCCTGCCGCCTGAAGCACTTAACAGTTTTTTGAGTGTTTGTGCTTATCCCGATCCTTGTGGCCCAGCGCAGCAAGGAAGACCTTTGACAAAAAACAGTCCCTACCGCAGATAGTTATAGTCACAAGAGATTCCAGCTGGAATTCAGGGTTTGGAGAGTTATGACGATGTTCCAGCAACAGAGGTGGGTATTCAGTTGGTTCTGACGGGAGAACCGGTAGAGGAAATTTTGAGTAGCTTGGAGAACCGGCCAATCCCGCCTCTGACTGGCCCCGCCAACCCCATCTCTTCTCCGCTTCCCATTGAATCCCAGCTGATCGGCTAGGTCTCCTTTGGTTGCCCTGCACAGGAAAACGGAGCTGGAAAGCAGGTTAGCGGGGTGGGGAGGGAAGGGGGATTTTGCAGTATCCTTTCCCTGCCACGCCCACCAAGCCACGCCCACAGAACCGGTAGTAAAAAAATTTGAATCCCACCACTGTTCCAGAAGATGATGACATAACGGTATCTGAATAAATTGTGGATTTTTAATGAATTGATTGTTGAACCCGAAACAACTAGCACGTATGTGCGAGGGGAACCTTCACTTTTACCTTACCATACACGAGCATTATGCTTTCCTTGAGGGGGGGTGGCTGGGATTTGGCCTGCGGTTGGTAAGTTACAAAAGGGTTGTGTATCGTAAGACTTCAGAACAATTACTCCCTCAGTCCATTAAGCAATCTGGGTGGTGGCTGGGATCAAGTTACAAAAGGGTTGTTGACACTCAGTCTAGATTTCCCCATTGACTTTGTTTGTCAGGATGTCGGAAAAGGGACTATAACCACCTGCAGTAGGGACTGTTTTTTGCCAAACATCTTCCTTGCTGCACTGGGCCACGAGGGTTGGGACAAGCATTAAACACTCCAAAAAAAAAACATTACATGCTTCAGGCAGCGTGGGGCGCATCGCTCGGCCACACGCTCTTGTCTGCGAAAGCAGCGGCCCGGTGGCCAGGCTTGCTAGAGTGGATGACGGCAGGCTTTTTCGGCTGGAAGATTACCGGTTGCTGGAATAAGCACTACAGATCGGCAAGGGTATGCCAGTTGCATCGTTCATGCTTTTGGGGTGCAAAAGAAGTAGCCCAGTGGCTAGGTGAGGCATGGGCGTGGGGGAATTAAGACATCCCTCGAAAAGATGGCCTAGCCGATTTTTCGGTGGGGTCAAAAGAAAAATAAGACCTGGTCTTATTTTCTAAGAAACACGGTAGAAAAATATGTTCCGACCCAGCTTCCTAAACACAACAAACTTCTAGTGTGAACTCAAAGAGATTCCTTTATTAGGAGCGCCAGCAGCCCCAGCAAAAAGTTTCTCTCACCTCAGGCTCACAAGTCTGTCTGGCAGGGAGAGGAATCGTTATCTGCCACACCTATTCATCTCTGCCCCACCCTGCCTTTTATCCCCAGAGCTCGAGTGGGGCCTCACTAGCAGCAGTGGCTCTTCCGTCCCAAGGACTGGCCCATAGGTTTCCACTGCTCTCCTCTGCCTTCTGTGCATCTGTGCGTCAGACACTGGACACGGCTGTTCCTCCTCTTCTTCATCAGCCACAACCAGACCTGAGGGCTGTTGACTCTCCATCAGAGGACTGACGGGCGGCTCAGGCTCCGCTTCTGTCTCTCTGACAGCTCCGTTCCCTCTTCCCCCTCGGAGCTCCCATGTTCCCCTGATGCTGGTCCTGACTCCCACATTTCCTCGTCTGATTCGGCTGATGGAGGGGCCCGTGGCTGACAGGCCACAACAAAATATGACAAGTGAGAAATTCATAGGAACGTCTGACTTCGATCTCTGGCCAGCCAGAGATGAAAACGGTCAACCGATGGCCGAAGAGACCCACGCAAACGTTCAAACACTTACATTGTTGCTGCTTTGGGGAGTCATTTTCTTTATTATGACGCCAAAGGTGACCCAATCCATTTCTTCAAGATTTGCCGAACGGAGTTTGTCTTGTACTTGAGACAGCCTGATCAGCTTCCGTCCAGTCATTTTCCTTTCCATCTCGGCCGAAGAGACCCGAGGTTTTCTGCAAAGAAATCAGAAATTCCCATTAGAGGAGCGACGCTTCAACCATCCATCGCTCGACGCAACCAGGAGGTTGAGCGACAAGAAAAGGAAGGAGTTTCCAACATGTATCCAAAATAAAGGTAAAGGTTCCCTTGGCACATCCGTGCTAGTCATTTCCGGCTCTAGGGGGCGCTGGTGCTCATCTCCGTGACAAAGCCAAAGAAGAGCCAGCACTGTCCGAAGACGTCTCCGTGGTCATGTTGCCAGCAGGACTAAACGCCTTTGAAGGTACACAGAACGCTGTTCCCTTCCCACCAAAGGGGTCCCTATTTTTCTACTTGCATTTTTTTACGTGCTTTTGAACTGCTAGGTTGGCAGAGGCTTACGGGGGAGGAAAGGGCCCCGATTCCCTTCATTAGCTGCAGCTGGGAACACAATGTTTAAAAAGGAGCTCACTCCATTACGCGGTGCTAGGGATTCGACCCGCTGAACTGCTGACCTTTCTGATCGACATGCTCAGTGTCTTAGCCACCACATTCTCTTTTTTATTTTATAAAAATAAAAAAGTATTTTATCCAAAATACTCAGCCTAATAAAAAGTCTTGCCTAACAAATTGGGCAAATTGTAAGAACTCCTGCTCCTTTTTTAAAAAAGCGCGGGAAAGTCCTGAAGATTAAAAACATGATGGCTTGAAAGGGATTAGCGAGGTTTTCAGATATTTCTCATGATTAGTTAGTCCTCGACTTACAATCACTTGTTTAATGACTGTTCCAAGTTACAATGGCACTGAAATCACTGAGTTATGATAGTTTTTCATACTTAACAATGGTTGCAGCATTCCTGTAATAATAATCAAAATTCAGGCATTTGGCAACCGACTCATACTTATGACCGTTGCAGTGTCCCAGGGTCATGTGATCCCCTTTTGTGACCTTCTGATGAGCAATGTCAATGGGGAAGCCGGATTCACTTAACACCCATGTTACTAACTTAACAACAGCAGTGATTCACTTAACAACGGTGGCAAGAAAAATCGTAAAGCGGAGCGGAATATACCTCACAACTGTCTCGCTTGGCAACATAAATTTTGGGCTCAATTGTGGTCGTAAGTCAAGACTACCTGTAATACAGCCAGAATAAAATTATGCCCTAGGTGTCAACGACAGAATTGTTCTTCGCAAGAAATTTATATAATTACCCTTGTGGTCCACATGGCATTAAAAAATAATAATAATAAAGTTATTCTAGATAGTTTGCTCACTGTCATGCCCCTGTTGGAAGGGGCATTTGGAGGGGCAGCCGACAGGAAGTGGGAGTGTGGCTCCATTGGCTGTGGAAGAAACCAGGGAAGGGCAAAGTCCGTCTGGGCAGAGCAGGGAAGAGGTAGAACAAGGGAGGGGGAATTTGGAGGAAGACCCAGGCCCACCCCCTCTTCATCTTGGGGCACGCAGGGAGGAACGGAGAAGGGAGCAATGTGGGTTGCATGGCTTATGGGGGAGGAAAGGGCCCTGATTCCCTTCATTAGCTGCAGCTGGGAACACAAGTGTTTAAAAAGGGAAGCTGCGCGCAGCAACTTGTTGGAAGTAAATCGTGAATTATATGTTATTATCATGGCTTATCTGGGTTCCTGGTGTCTTCCCAACTGTGTGTGTTTTGTTGGCCTTTCAAGTCTGCAATTTCTTCTCCTGCCCTGTCAAGTTAATTGCTGCAGCGAGGTTTGTTTGGATTTTTAGTTATAGTTTGTATGTACTTTGTTTTCAGACTGAATTTCCTCCACTTAAAGGCTGTTCCTGGGAGAGTTTTTTCTCCACCCAAAGCTAACCTGGACATTGGGGGCAAAGGTGGAGGTAATAAAGGAACTCTTCTTGCTTATCTGACTGTGTTGCCTTTGTGCCACGCCCCTTTTGGGTCATCACACTCACCTTAGTTTCAATCCAGAGTAGATTTCCATGGAAACGTTTTGATTTTTGACCTCGGAATTTTTTGTTACTGGAATTTTCTTACTGGAATCCTCAGCGGGTCTGTTTCCAGGCACAGATGTAAGTGGCTGAGAGAGCAGACTAGGTGTAGCTTTTGAAGCGTGGTTCTTATTCACTAAGGAGAAGAGAAAGAGTACACCATTATCCCAGGAGAAAACAGAAAAACCAACACAGAAGGAAAAGGCTTAAAAAGTTTAACAATAAGTGGCTAATTTTCCCCAGGGCAATAAAATTGCAAATCAGCCACCATCAATTCTGCCTGCAGGTGTATTTTTGTTTCAGAAAATAATTAAAAATAAAATAAAATAACAAAAGGTGCGGACAGCCCCCAAACGCAGATGAATAAATAAGACTGCGCGAAGAAGTCGTTCTGGTTCTCATTCTCATTTTGCTCTTTTCAGCAACAGAGGGCATGTTGAAAAAAAAAAGGTGTCCTTCTCTAATACTTCATTTAGGACGACATCTTAACATTCCCAGATGCAGAATGTAATCTGCATAAGCCTATTTGCATTGTACTGTATCCACTCCCAAGCTGTGAAGGCACCGCCTTTAAAAAAAAAAACCGCATCTTCAACCTTTCAAAGATATGAAAGCAGCAGATTTTATAGCAGAATAACAGAGTTGGAAGGGACCTTGGAGGTCTTCTAGTCCAACCCCTGCTCAAGCAGGAAACCCTAGATGTCATTTCAGACAAATGGTTGTCCGATCTCTTCTTAAAAACCTCCAGTGAGGGAGAAGTAACAACATCTAAAGGCAAGTTGTTCCACTGGTTAATTTTCCTCCCTTAATTCCAGGTTGCTTCTCTCCTGGGTTAGTTTCCATCCATGGCTTCTTGTTCTACCTTCAGGTGCTTTGGAGAATAGCTTGACCCCCTCCTTCTTTGGGGCAGCCCCTCAAATATTGGAAGATAGCCACTATCCTCTCCCCCCCAGTCCTTCTTTTGATTAAACTAGATATACCCAATTCCTGCAACCATACTTTTACAACACTGCCAGAAATCCAGCAGAAGAAATGGCTAATATACCTGCAATCATAGATTTCGATTTCTGGAACGGGCTTTTTGACAGCGGTAAAGCAGGACTGATCAGCTGGGCTGAGAAAGATGGAGATTTCTGTACCTTGGACGGAGTCCTTTCCTTAATGACAGCACCGTTTGATTGACCTGATCAAAGAAATCAAAGAATTTATTCGAAGAGTTATGCTTTCAGCTAGAAGATACTACAAGCAGCCTCAAGGCATTTACAGCGGTACCTCGGTACTCATCGTTAATTGATTCTGGGAGGCACGATGAGTAGCAAAGACGGTGAGTACTAAACAAGGAACAATGCAGTGAGTCACAAGGCAAGTTCTAGCTGGTGTGTTGAGTACCAAATGATGAGGACAGCTCCTCCTCGACTTACAACCACAATTGACCCCAGGATTTCTGTCGTTAAGTGTAATAATGCATTCGGAAGGAAAAGACTGCTGATATTGTGCACAAAAGATATGTACCAAACGACACACTGTACAATGGAAAGATGGTTTTATTTGATGTTTGATGTTTGTATTTGTTAATGTTTGTTGTTATAATAAATAAAAAACTTGATTAAAAAAATTATCCAGTCTTGGAAACTGTACCATCAATCCAAACAAATTAATTTAAAAGGTAGATAAATCAATGAGCGATATACCTAAGCCACCTTTCTCTCTCTGATGTTTCATAGGACTCTTTTTATGATAGATTTGAAGCAAGAACATTGATTATTCCACGCCGAGTGTGGCTATTTGTAGAAATATCTTCTCCTCGTTTCCTCACTCTGATCCTAATCCTCACCACATTGTTTACACAAAGGAATCGGTATTCCTCGACTTCTGACCGTAATTGAGCCTGGAATTATGGTCGAAAGTTTTCTGGGTTGTTTAGATAGCCGCTCATGGGACCACTCCAGAATTTTTTACCATCTTTCTTATGGTAGCTGTTAAGGCAACGTGCGTGTTGTAAAAAGAACATTGTGGTTGTTAAGGCAAATCTATTGTCTGCAAGGGGCAGGATTTTTTTTTTGCCAAAAACCAGAAGTAAACATCAGTTTCTGGTGTGACCACGGGATGCTCCAAGTAGCTGGTTAAGCACGGGCCAGTCGCAAGCACCCAAAATGTGATCCCCTGTATTGAATCGGACATTTACATACGATGTCAAACTATTGCTAGCGCTTTAATTATTCTGCTGAACCGCCGGCATTCGCATCGTCTTAGCCAATTGCTCGGGGTTACAATGAATGTCCGAAGGATGAAATGCGAGCTTACACATCGGAGAGCAGAACTGTCGAAAAGGGGGAAATGCAATTATTACCAGGTGTTTTCTTGCAGGGATCGTCAGGCTCAGGGGGCTGCCCTATCCCCGTCCTCCCCAACTGCTCTTGCAATTTTTTCATCTGCTCCTGCAATTTTCTCAACTCATCTGTGAGGCGAAAAGAAGAAGAAGAAGGAAGACAAATCTCATTGGAAGCCCAAGGTTAGATAAATTAAAAATTAAGGGGGAAAAAAAACAACCCCCCCACCCGATAAACCAATATTTAATGTACCAGGAACATCTGAACATCGTTTTCAGTCTGCAGTTTTGATTCCATTTCTTTAAACTGTTACGTTCAGACCCAGCTTCCTAAACACGACAAAGCTGTCTGAAGTGAACTCAAAGATTCCTTGATTAGGAGCACAAGCAGCTCTGGCAAAAAAGTTTCTTTCTCAATGCAGGCTAAGAAGCCCGTCCATCGGTCCAGCAGCTGAATAGTTTTCTGCCACACCTCTCCATCTCCGCCCCGTACCTTTTATCCCCAGAGCTAGGGTGGGGCTTTGCTAGCAGCAAATTGCTAGCAGACGGCTCTTCCGTCCCGAGGACCGGCCCATAGATTTCCACTGCTCTCCTCTCCTCTGCCTTCTGTGCATCTATGCATCAGGCACTGGGCCCAGCTGTTCCTCCTCTTCCTCATCAGCCACCTCCAGACCTGGGGGCTGTTGACTCTCCATCTGAAGGGCTGAGGGGTGGTCCAGGCTCCGCCTCTCTCTCTGTCTCTCTCTCTCTGCAGCTACATTCCCTGTCCCCCCCTCGGAGCTCCCAGGTTGCCCTAATGCTGACCCTGACTTCCACGCCTCCTCCTCCTCCTCCTCCAATTTGGCTGCAGGGAGGGGCCGGTGGCCAACAGGCCACAATGCGTTAACGATTTTTGAGACAAAACCTCCAGATTAGATCCCTTTTAACCATCGGAAATGTAAGAAGTTTTCACGAGACCTTGCAGATCTTCCTTGGAAGGTTCTTTCACTCGATCAGGCGCCACAGGACGGGATGTCTTCTGAACGTGTTTTTCTTTCTTCTCTTCCTCCAAAAGGTCAGTCACATCCCCAAAGAGCTCAGCCACATTTTCCTGGCTGGCAGAGGACCCCGCCTCTTCTTCCTCTTCCACCTCCTCGGTGTAAGACGCATCGTCTTCTGCCTCAAAGAGTAAATCGTACTCATCCTGATGGCCAGCTGCTCTTTCCTTCTCTGAAGAATCCTCTTCTGCGTCGCTCTCCTCTAAGAGGGAAGTTAAGAGGTCTAAGTCATCATCGCCTGGAAGGAAATGGATAATGGCCTAGTTAGCAACGATCTGAACACTTCCACCTCCAGCTATTGAAACCAAGCAAAACATAAATACGATTCAATGTACACCGTAATTACATCCCCAAGAGGAAAAGATTTCTGTTTTCCCCTCTTGTTCAAAAGCAATGCCAATTTGCTCTTTAAATATCAACTGAGGGATACCAGCTCAATTTAAAGCTGTCCCGGAACAGAGTTAACAGGTTAACAGAGTGGGAAGGGAGACCTTGTAGGTCATCTAGTCCAACCCCCTGACCAAGCAGGAGACCCTACACCATTTCTGGCAGATGGCAGTCCAATCTCTTCTTGAAAGTCTCAAGTGATGAAGCTCCCACCACTTCTGAAAGCAACTTCTGTTCCATTGGTTGACTGTTCTCGCTGTCAGAAAGTTTCTCCTTATTTTCAGGTTAAATCTCTCCTTGATCAGTTTTCACCTATTATTCCTGGGTTTGCAGAGGAAAACACACATTTGGGGTCCTTGATGCTCTCTGAGCTTGGTGGTTTTCTTGCAGACATTTCATTACCCAAACCAGGTAACGTCATCAGGGCCCTCATGGAAACTCAAGAGGCTTTTCAAGAGCCATGAAAAGTAGCAGCTAAATCATGTACGACGGATAAATTACGAGCAATTTAAGCTACAATGGATAACTAAGCCCCCCAGCCTGCAGAAGCCTGCACAGTGCTAAATGGGATATGATGTGGTAGCTCGATCCCCGTGCTTCGCTACGAAACTATGTAGTCAGGCTTAGTTTTGGGGGAGGAAAATAAGGGGGAAAAATTCTGCCTCTGTCTTACCAGCATCCATAGGTATTCACCTGGTTAGCGTCCTGTCAGTGTGTATGAGAGTTCAGGACTGTTTGGAAACTGAAACAGTATTTGCTGTGTGAGTAAGGAGACAGCAAGGAGCCTGAGCATGGCTTAGCTCAACTGTTCTGTACTAAAGCTGTTTGGTGCTGTGAAACTGAAACAAACTCCTCATGTTTTTCCTTTGGAAAAGATTTATTTTCAGGTGGGGAAGGGGAGTAGAACTCCTTAGCATCAGAGTTAATAATAATAATATAGGAAATACTAAAGCTCTGATGGTCATTTTGAAAAATCCTTTCTTATTGAGCACTTAGAAGCCAAGAGGAACATAAGGGCCAAATTTCAAGTTTGTAGGCTTTACAGTTCTGGAGATTTTGTGACGATGCATCAGTGGTCTTTCATAGATAGATAGATAGATAGATAGATAGATAGATAGATAGATAGATAGATAGATAGATAGATATGTTTTCTTAAGTTTTCACGGGTACTTACATGTATGGTATTTAGCTTTGTTCGGGTATTTTCACACGTCATTCCCACGTCAATACCCGAAACAAAGCTGAATACTATATCTATCTATCTATCTATCTATCTATCTATCTATCTATCTATCTATCTATCTATCTATCCATCCATCTATCATCCATCCATCCATCCATCCATCATCCATCCATCCATCCATCCATCTATCTATCTTTAAAAATCCAGCAGAATTCAGAACTCACCCTCCATTCTTTCACAAGACCAGGGAAGACTTAGAGAAAAATTCTTCTTTTTCTGGGAACATAAAAGCAATAGGAAAAACAAATGCATATAACATTTTGGGGACTCTCAAACAAGTAAAAGGGTGAGGAAGAAGAGCATAAAATATATATTCAAAGCGGCTGCGAAACCAGGTATAAAACTGGGGGTTTTGAAGTAGGAAAGGTGCTGTTGGAGAATTTTAAGTCCAAAGAACTGGGGGTGAAGCTGAGCCCAACCTTTATTTTAAACTTAAAATAACCTTTTAAAACTTTAAATAATTCAAGGGATTGAAAACTGCACTGAGGTGTTTTTTTTTTTGATAGTCTTGGAGAATTTCAGGTGAGGTCAAATGGGAGCAGATAATTAACATAATTGATAATTAACAGGACATAACAGAGAATTAAATGCTTTTATATTTATGCTTTTGCACCATGTAAAGTGCCCAGAGTCACTTTGGATAGTGAGATGGGGGACATATAAATGTAATAAACCAATTAAGGACATTCTTGATGTGAAATTAAATCCAGGGAGAATGAGAAGAGAAAAATGCAGTGGTGGCAAAAGATGGGAAGGGAGAATTCCCAGAATTGAAAGAATTAAGAATTCTAGGAGTTTAAATCCCTCTCCATTTTAAAATTAAGATTAAGAAACATTGCAGTAAACCAAAATAACATCTCCATCCACTCTATGGGTGCAAAACTCCCTCCTTGCTTGAAAATCAACCCCAATAATGATATTTTAAAATCCCCCTTTCCTTTATTTATTTTTTTAATTAATTAATTAATTTGTCAAGCAATTATAAGATAACAGGTATAAGTATATACATAGTTATGGATACATGAAATGGATACATGTAAGAAAAATAATATATATATATAAAAGAAACAACAGGACAGGGACTGTAGACACTTTGGTGCGCTTATGCACGCCCCCTACAGACCCCTTAGGAAAGGGGTTAGGTCAATAGTAGACAATTTAAGGGTAAAGTTTCTGAGGTTGCACAATTCCCATGCCTGGGATTGAAACTCAAATTATTATTATTTTTAAAACTTTTTCCCCAAGTTTGTTTAAGGGCAAAGGCTGAGATTGCACCCCCCCACCCCCATTTAAGGGAAGTTGCCAAAAAAGCACGCTTTTGCAATTGCAATTCCACTTTTCCGGATCAGCTGCTTGGAATTTGCCCGGATGAATGCAAAATCCTTGCAGTGGGTTGCTTTTCATTCCTCTTTTGCACCGGGGACCCCTCCAAATCTCCCTTTCCCCGATGCATTGGCTGCAATTTCCCCTTTTCTCGATGTTTTGGCGAAGCTGCGACTTTCTTACCTGGATTGCAACTTTTTCCCTTCCGCCCCAAGATGAAAACCCGCCAAAAGTTTTAATTCCGACCTGCCCCCGACGCGTCGGCATGAAGTTCCGGGTTTTAAACCAGGGATTTTCTTTGTTAGTATCTCTATGGAGATACTCCATTGGAAGAGCGAGGCCGGCGTTCATGACTGCGCATGCGCCACTGACGGATTGGCGCGCTCAGCGAGCCAGAGATAAGAAAATTAAGAGACGCTCCTCTGATCCGCATGCGCAGTTGCTAGAAGTGGGAATGTAGAAATTTTTAAAGCGGGGTTTATTACCCAAGGGCAACTAGCAGGGCAGAGGCTTAGTTCAGACACGTGAAGACGTGGAACTTGCATCCACACGTGTTTTGTTTCCCTTAACTTGATTTCTTCCTCCCCCCAGTACCTTAATGCATTGTACAAGCTCACTGGATTTACACTTCACCCAAGGGTTAAACTGGGTTAATGCAAAATCCGGGTTAAGCATGCTGTGTGAATGTAGCCGATCCATCCTTCTTCAATAAAGACTTAAAATGCATTCACAGTATTGGTGTATGCACATGTACTTTTGTACAAAAGCCATGATTCTTAAAATTTAGGAAAATTGTAATAAGAGGAAGTTAAGCCTACGCTTCTTTAGAGACAGGTTGTCGCTGAAAAAGCAATTCTGCACATCTCCAGGATAAAAGACATCAAAGCTATATATTGGTTTTTAGTATTTTAAGGTTTTATTTGAATGTTTGTAAGCTGCCGAAAATCATCTCAAAGAGAGAGGGGCAGCAAACAAATCTAATAAATTTATTTGCAATTTAGAGCCAAACCAAGATATCAATAAAGGAGAATATTTGTAGCTCAGAGTTGAAATGAAGGGGTCCTTGGTGCTCTCTGAACTTGGTGGTTTTCTTGCAAATGTTTCATGACCCAACTAGGGAACATCATCAGTGCTGTTTACACTCCTTACTACCACTGATGTTATTCCCTAGTTGGGTCTTGAAACGTCTGCAAGAAAACAAGCATGCTCAGAGAGCACCAAGGACCCCCTCAAACCACGATAATGTAGCAATGAAGGTCCTGAATAGATCAGGATCTAAATATGGAGGCTCACTGGACAGTTCCCTTTTCTCAGCCCAACCTGCCTCACACGGTTGTTGTTGCAGAAAAAACGTTTTGCTGGTTTGCACTTCTGGAGGGAAAGTAGTTGGAAGCCACTCTTTCCTTGTGATGTAGCTGCAAATTTCCTTGGCAGAGTGTGGGGCTTCCTATTATTTTTCCTTGTTGATAGCTTTTTTGCTGTACAAGTCTGAATCTGATGAGGCGGCCCATTTTAATCCATGTTTCTATTATCCCAATATTGTAAACTGTTTAAATATGTGCAGCACATAGCAATAGCAATGGGGTTTTGCAATCTTTAGGAAGGTCTTGACTGCTTGCTAAGTAGAGAGGACAAATATAGGTAAAAACCAAACCATTTTAACTTTAGGAATCCTTGCTCATTAATAAGGATGAATTTTCCCCTAGTACCAAGTTGTTTACGAACGATCAAGGATAAAAATAAACACTTCCGTTTAGGTTCAAGTTTAGTTGAATCATAGTAATTATGTTACTATGATTAAGGAATAATTGTAGGAACAATTTTGTCTTTTATGATTGGTTTGCCATGATGTCTATTTTTATGGGGGTTCATAGTGATGTACGTGGTTTGAAATTATGTTTAAAAAGTGTTTTTCTCCAAGCCAAAATAAAAAATAAAAAAATTGCCCATTTTGTAAGCTGCTTTCTAGACAAGCTTTTATATGCAAATAAAAATTTTAATTCTTTCCACCTACCTGGTATGGTTATTGGGCCCGCATGACGAATAAACTAAGATAAACAGATCCGATTAAGAAATGTCTGAAATGTTTAAAAGATCTTGTCCAGTTGCACCCAAAGAAAACTCTTAAAAACACTGTTTTAAAAAGCTATCCAGGTCCTCTAGGATCTTCAATAAACTTTCAAACAAAATATTTCAGAACATGGCTTTATTATTATTATTTCCTTCATTCATACAATTCGTTTATCACTTGTGCCATTAAGTCTTTTTTTTTTTTTTTTCAAATATAACATCCAGATTATTCTTTAAAGAGAAATTGCAAACATAAGGGCCAACAAAATATTTATTGGGCAGTTAATTAATTTAACCTCCATTTAGCTTAAACAAGGCCACTCACTCACTGTAAAAACTAAGGTGAGCGAGTGTGACCCACACATATATTCTCCTTCAATGGTTTCCTAGCTTTGTTGTAAACTTTATATTAGTAAGGTACTTGTGGCTTACACAAGGTACAAAATCAAGCTTTAAAATAAACATCTAAAATATGTGATTTAATTACACTACTAGCGACTCCTGCACTGTTTAATCAGTTAAGTAATTCGTGATCTGTTTGATCCATGTTGAAATAATCACAGTTTAAATAGGAATCGAATGAATCAAAAGAACAAGTAAAAATCAGCATTCTTATTATTGCTCTCGCTTTCTTTCATCATTTACAGATATGCCATGAATATCAGCAACAGCTTTCAAACTATTGTAGAGTAGAATCACCTACATCCAAGTGTGAATATTTTCTCAACTGGCAATCAACACACTTTTATTTTACCTGTTGGTCAACATATTTCACTGTCTATTTCTTCTCATGATTCAAGGTACCAACCACACTGTCTTTCAACCACAGTATCCCACGGAGTGCCAAAAAATTTGGACGATGAAAAATTTAAATCCTCCAAAGTCCTCATTTTGCTAGAATAGTTGGAAGGTTTAGTAGATGCAGTCCAACTATAAAATGAACCATTCCGGTCAAAACAGCTACAGAAAGGGGTTCAACCTCAAAATCTTTTGTACCCTTTTTAAAATACACGATTAAATATAAATACGCAGCTTTGAAACTGCCTGTAAAGATTTCCAGTCTGCAATACTCCTATTGAACAAGCTGTGTTAAATAACTCCAACATTGTCGTCTTCAAAATGTGTTGGTTCCTAAGCGATGATGCAGTCAATGTATTTAGCTTCAGCCAGCTGGAAACGAAATTGCATGGATGGATGTTGTCGTTTTTGTTAAGGTCAATTTTGAATGCCTAACTAAACCCTAAACCTCCCTAGGGAATCCCTTCGGAAAAAGCCATTAAGGCCTCCAACGCTTTCTAAACCAAGGTGCATATGGGGACGGACGGACACACACACATACATATATATTTTACAAAGTGCAGGTCTTGTTTTCCGAGTGTATCTGAGAACATGGTTTAGATGATACAGTCCATAACATGAATTTGAAGCGTATCTATATCCGGAAGAATTATACTACATTTTGGACAAGAATGTATAGGAATATCCCTTGGCGGCTGTGGCTGATTTTGCTCTTCTGCTCCTGCGGGTACAGAATTTTTGTTTGAAAAAATAAATAAATATAAATACACACACACACACACACACACACACACACACACACATATGCATGCATACATACATACGTATTGTCAGGATTCCGGCAATTGCCCTAATTAAATTATGATCCTCGAGCCAAACTTCAAAAAACTTCCAAGGATTCATTAGGGGCGACATACTGGCATTGCCGTGCATGTAGCGACCTCTGGCCTACATCATTTACCTGTAACCCTGTTTCCCCTTTTTCCTGGCTGTGTCATAAATAAGATTCTCCAATTGAGCACCTTCACAGGCTGGGTGTCATCAATCACATTCTCCAATTACGGGTTGGGTATTGTCACTCACGTTCTCCAATTAAATATATTCTCGGGCAAAAGTTCTGGTATTTTAGTTACAATCTTTTAAAGATAAAGAGTTGGAATGTACTTTCGCTTTCACACTGCTGTCCTGTTCTTCCAGATTTCCTTCCTTCTCCTCCCCCTTTTTATATGGCAACTACTAAAACAGGCCTAGGAATATTTTACGAGTTGACACTACATACATACATATCTACATATCTATCCATCTATCTCTCTCTCTCTATATATATATGCACACACACATATGAATTATACTTTGAATAATAGATGAATTTTACATGCAGGTAGTCCTCGACTTACGATCACAATTAAGCCCCAAATCTCTGTTGTTAAGGGAGACATTTTAAAAGTCAATCTCCCCCCCTCACCCCCATTTTATAACCTCTCTTGACACCTTAGTTAAGTGAATCAGTGCAGTGGTTAAAATTAAGCCACCCAGTTGCTAAGGGAATCTGGCTTCTCCATTGACTTGGCATGTCTGAAGGTCACAAAAAAAGAGGACAACGTGATCCCGGAGACACAGCCACCGTCATAAAGGTGCGTCAGTTGTCCAGCATCTGAATGTAAATCACGTTGACCGAGGGGGACGCTTCAACAGGCACAAGTGTGAAAAATAGTCCCAGGTCACTTTCTTCCATGACGTTAATTTTGAACCGTCACTAAATGAACGATTGCATGTCGAGGACTAGCTGTATACAATTCAATTCAATTTTCCTTTTATTTTCCCCCCCGGTTCTATCATTCCCTTTCAGAGTGATACAGCACCAAGTTCAGACAACACCAGGACCCCATACTCTTCCTCATCCTCCTCTCCACAAAGCCCACAACCCTTCTAGCACAGTTGATGATGTTGCCTAGTTGGGTCTTGAAACATCTGCTAGAAAACCATCCAGCTCTGAGAGCACCAAGGACCCAACACTCCTCTTCCCCCGTCTCCTCTTTTCTACTTCTCTTCCTCCTCTTCACCTTCTCCTCTTCTCCCCTCCTCTTCCTTTTCGTCCTCTTTTTCTTCTTTCCTTCCTTCCCTCTCCTCCTCCTCCTTCTCCTCCCTTTCTGCAAACCCTCCTCCCTTCTAGCACTGATGATGTTCTGTAGTTGGGTCCTGAAATGTCTGCTAGAAAACCATCCAGCTCAGAGAGCACCAAGGACCCTCTTCCTCCTTCTCTTTTCCTTCCTTCTCCTCTTCCTCTTCTGCTTCTCTTCCTCCTCTTCTCCTTCTTCCCCTTCTTCTTCTTCCCCTCCTCCCTTCGAGCACTGATAATATTACCTAGTTGGGTCACG